ACACACACACACACACACACACACACACACACACACACACACACACACACACTACTGGTTTAACACCAACCTCTAAGGTAAGACTCAGGGGACATTTTCACCCCTACATCCAGCCGGATTTTGTTCTTTTATTTAATTGGGGAAATGAATGTAGCTTGAGTTGAAATGAGTGGGTTTCTACAGAAGCCCTGAGAGGCACCTGTTCTTAAATCATAAACAGAGGAGAGAAAATAAACTAGATCAGACTTACAACTTTTATTTTCTGATAAATCAAGTAGACTGAAAATGAATGAAGTAGACTATTGCTTGATGGATTAGTAATAAACTGCTCATTTTACAATCAGGATCACCTTAGATTTTAGTGAGCTCTGCAGTGTGGAAAGGGTCCCATCTGGATGCATTACATTTGGATGTATAGTATAGGAGGGGTGGGCCTGTAACCAAATTTCATTCCACACTTTGTCCCTCACGAGAAATAAAAAGACTGATGGTCGATAGAAACAACAACAAGAGCAGTTAACCTATGCTATGCTAACAGCTCTGACTGTCCTTAAGCCCGACTCTAAAGCACTGACATGCCGCGTGATGGCATACTTCTCCACTCCATAGATCCTTGATGATACAGCAATGGCTGCACATCACTTCCCAAGATGCAACAGCACAAGACCTACAGTAGCAGCTGCTGCTCTGGGCATTAGTTGCAGGGTCATCGTCAGCTGTGAATACTGACTTGCTTGCTGTTTCTGTTGCGTCTACTTTTTCCTCTATGTCTTCCCCAATCGTTAATGACTGCACTTACACTTAAAGTCACAGAATTTGTGTTCAGTTTCACACACAGGAATCTAACTTAGAACAGCCCAAACTAAAGAAGGTACATTACAACAACAAACAGCAGGATTCAGAAGAGACACTGGACACAGAACAGGATTCTCCCCTAAGCCCAGAAAGACACTATGAGTGCAAGCGCAGAGACAGACAGGCAGAGGTAAAGGTTCTAGGAAGAACACCAACAACTGGAGGGAGGCTCGTGTTAGCATCCGGTAACGACTCTCCGGTTGGGACACTCACTGGGAGGGGCAGTCCAGACAGCTGTTCGCTCAGCAGTACTCACCCAGAGGAGTGAAGCCCCGAGCGGGGCTGGTGTCGCGGCTGCTCTCACGACTGGTGTCGCGACTGCAACCCTGACTCATGCTGGGACGGGGAATGCGGCTCCGGGCTAGCGTGCGGTAGGGAAGAGCAGCAGGAAGAAGAGCTTTACCACACAGGCTGGCTGTCAGGACAACAAGTTAGGTGAGAATGTCAGTGTGCATTCATGACGGAGAGTCAGAAATGAGGAACAGAAGAGGGGTAGAGGCTATGAAAGCCCTGGATGAAACAACAAACTGGTGTCTATTCTTAGAACTTTGCTTTTGGCGGTTCCTTGAACACATGAAATCAATTTGACATTTTGGCCTGAGGACAATGCAACAGCCCGGATCATAAATTGTTACAAATGAAAATTATTTCGGGTGCAAGAATGTCCTTGGTAAATTTCATGACTGTCATATTTGAAAAAAAGAAAAATTCTGAACAAATGCACATTCAGTAGACCGCCAGGCCGATGAACTGACATCGCCATCCAGAGGACCCTGAAACTACTGAGATATATATATATATATATATATATATAAAGAGACTGGACTGGAGAAGATGAAGAAGAAGATGAAGAAGAATTGAAAGTGAAGAGTCACAGTAAGACAGAGACAGAAGCAGTGGCAGGATGCTGGGTGAGTGAGTTGGTCAAACAGCATACTGCTAGTAAAGGTTAGATAGTCTGGACACAAGTTAGATATTAGGACGGTAACACATCAACAGCAACATACCCTCCTCTTATTGAAAAGAAAACAAATGAGAAGGATCTGTAATTAATCAGAAACAGTCAACATTTCCTCTTATTGAAACTACTTTTCAAAAGATACAAAGAGCGGCCAGTCCATTAAAGGGGCAGTCACCACCTGGATGTCCAACCAGTGTTGATGGTATGTAGTAGAGCGGGGCAATAACTCCCTCAGTGCTGCTATATTGACCCAGAAAGCTGACTTCTGCTGCTCCCGGAGCCGTGCCTGCAGTGCCCACATGTACCAGAATGCATTGCGCCCAAGCTTCTGATGCCCAGAGGATCTCCACCAGCTATGTCCTCTTGCACTGCTAATGCAGCTGCAGACTCAGTCATTCTCTCCGCTGCATTCATATTCAAATTGCTCTGAATAAATATGGCCGAATATCCAAGTCATCCAAAACACTGTAGTTCTTCCTGGCCTCCGACTCAAACGTCAAATGACGGTGTTGGATGCAGGAACACATTTTGATGCTTAGCTCAACTTTTTAGGTCAATAAAACGCGCCCTGTAGAATTTATTGCTTCAATCGACTTAATTTACCATCAACACTGATTGGACTCCCGAATCTTCCCTTCAAAAAAGGCATCAATCCAACCCTGACGAATAAGAAAGCCTGACTCTGCCTTCCACCATATTTAACCTTCACGATAACAACTACAACACCCATAACCACCGCTCCCTCTCAACAAATCAGACGTCAGAACAGATCTGCACGCATACATTTATATCATGGTGAAAAGAGATCTAGCAGAACAGACACTGTCTGATAGCAGCAGCGCTTTGTTTTGGACAGTCTGAGCAGCGACTGCTGTCTGAGCGCTGCGGTGTTTCAAAGTGCAAAACAGAAACATTGGTTTCTTCTCTTTGTCAGGAAGTTAAGATAGGAAGGTCCAAGTTTCACATCTTTTTGACATAATCCTGCATGGACGCATGTCCCCTCATGTGTTCATGCGCTGTATGGTGACGAGCACACCTGTGTGTTTCAGTGATGAGGAGCATTTCAATGGTGAGTGTTTGACTCGTGGATGAGTCTCGTCATGGTGCCTGGATTTTAATGGTGTGGATTTGACAAGAAAGAGATGAAGTAAAAGAACACTGTGATCTGTCGCATTTCAGTTTGTAGGCTTTTCCGTCACCACACACTCTGAGCCAAACTCATGTAATGTCAAATCATTTCAAACTCAGGTTTGTCTCATCTTTGTACATCACTTGGGACATTGTAGTTTTTTTGTGTTTTTCTATCATTTTGGCTGATAAGGCATGAACACGGATGACAACATTTCTTTTTTTAATTTTAAAAGTTGAAGCTCAGCTCCTGTAATAACTTTATAATAAACTGTGTAGCCAAAATACAGACACACAGTTCTCCCATTAAAACCTCAATTACATCAGGTTTAATCTAGAGCCCTGGCTTCACAACTGTAGTTTTTACTATTCTGCTGTTTTTATGGTTTCCTGCACAAAAAATGTAAATGCACCAATATCAAATAGTTGCCAATCATAAAAATCCCTGTAGCATTTAGTATTCTATACAAAATTTGTGTTTTGCTTTTTTCCATAAAAAAAACAGCAGTGGCATTATGTAAACAAACTAAAGGTTTAAAATTAAATATATATATATATATATATATATATATATATATATATATTTGGTCCTTGTGATGAGGATTAATGTTGGATAGAAAACGTAATTCTGTGCATGGAAAATAAAAATAATATATAATTGTATGGCAGTTTTTGACACGGATATGTTTGTCCTCTAAGGACATCAGAGCAACTTTTTTTAGGGTGCACAATAAAAGCAAGTCCCAGTAATTCACTCTCCCAGACCTACACCACATACACAGTAGTCCTGCAGGACTACTAAAGAAAGACGGACTTGTGTGAGTAATCCTGGCCTTACCGAGACCCAGTCGGCTGGGGCTGGTCTCGCGGCTGCAGCCCTGGCTGCGAGGGATCCTGGTGCGCTTGTCAGCCGGCGTGGTGCAGGCCGACACCGTGGCTCGAGGGATCCGGCCGTAGCTGCCGTGGCCGAGCAGCTTGCCCGGGGAGCTGGAGCGGCTGCCGGCTGAGAGGAGACAAACAAACACAAACACATGGACTGTAGTGAGACAGTATTCAGAGAGGCCGAGACACTGGTGGGGATGAGGGTGAGGGAGTGGTCCAACCTTTAGTAACATGCCTGGTGGAATCTCTAAACACAAGCTGTGTCAATAGACCCAATGCTGTGGGCACGCAACATCGTATAATGTCTTCTTCTACATGTATTCATCTCAGTGTGGAGGCAAACAGAACTTGACAGGAAATTAAAATCAAGTCTGAGAATGAACAACTTCAGACACACCTACAGGATGAGAGGGGCTGGACCCACGTCCTAACTACCTGTGCTGTGTGGAGACAGTTACTGACTGGCCACCACGGGGAACATACAACACTTCAACGGTGACAACAAAGGCTACAAAGACAAGACAACACACATCTCTATTCCAAACAGCGTCTCAAACTGTGGGAAAGTAATGAGGAAAATATGTGAACGTGGTGAGCGGAGCATGCTGCTACTGTACGTGGAGGAACAAAGGTAAAAGGCTAAAAGAATGGGGACGGCGTGCTAAGGGATGATGAGGCGTCTGGCTTGTGATTGGATGAAGCTGAGGCCTTACCATTGATGGGATTGGCTGATCTGGATCCTGGGTGATGGAAGCAATAGGCAGGACAGGGTGGAGAACGGTCAAAATGAGACAGAAGGGGTCATGTTTATTCAATTTACCCAGCATGCACTCTGAACGGCTGTGAACGTGTGGTCTGTGTACTGATTCCTGACAGAGCTCAAGAACGCATAGATACCAACATACACGCAAACTATGCATGCATGTAGGCTCACACATACACAAGGTTTTGTGAGTGACTATGGCTTTGGGGTGTTTATCGGGTTGCTGCAGCACATGGGAAACATCACACACACACACACACACACACACACATAGGAGAAACAGCAAAACGTCTGGTATGATCTCAAAGCCGATGCAGACAAAGATCATACCAGCACATGAGAGTGGTGGATTGGTATGCACACACATATACTGAATGTGTGCGATTTCAATTAAACTTCACCGTATGAGAGCCGTGTGTATGGTGCATATACGTACGCTGGGACTGAGAGACAACTTTGGCTCTGCTGCGCCCCCTACTGTCCACCACTAAGGTACTGGCTCCGCCCACGCTGCCCGAGCTCTGTCTCCTGGTACGAACGCGACCTGGACGACAAGGGAGGGAGCAAGAAGAGAAGCAGTGGGAGTTTTATTCCGCTTGAATTACATGAATGTGTTCAACCCCGACCCTGGACAGAGACGCTGGAGAAGACAAAGGGGACACAGAATGAAGGAGACCTGCGTGAGTGGATGGAGCCCCTCTGAAAACTCACAGGAGAGAAACAGACAAACCTGGGTCTACTAGTTTGCAAACATATCTCAGTGCTAGCTAAGACATGAGCCACACAGAAAAGCACAACTTCAGTGATGTTTGAAGTTTAAAGTGTGTCTTATTGTCCTGAAACAAACCATAAGAAATATTGGCAGACTTCCCGACCCAGGTCTGGAGAAAGACGGACAAACATTGAATATCCTTTGCAGCTATGCTTGAAAAACCTGCAAACATGAGGAATACTCTGACATACTTCTGATTAGGAGTAGAAAAACATTTTGTATTGGACGTTTAGCGAGAAACGGTGCTGCTAGCTGCAAGATAAAAGGCTAGCTTTAGGCTTTAAGTTAGCAACATAAAATTGACAGAAACCCTTCCCCCAAATTGAGAGACTAGTTTCTATTGGAAGTACGTAACATCCAAATTTAGCATGTTATGGTAATGCTATATATAATATGCAGTGGGTCTGAAGCCAATAGTGACATTTAACAAGCAACTAAACTATAAAACCCAAAGAAAACTTGAGTAAGAAAAACTAAAGTATCTTTCAATTCTAGCCTCTGCATTCTGAAGAATATAAGGTATCAGAAGGCGTTTTTTTAACAAAAATAAAGGCAATTTGTAACGAGACATTTGATTTCCGTTTAACATAGTTCACACACGTGGTGACCAAATATAATTTTGGAATAACTTTCTTCCCACTCTCACTAAAATTGACAACAAGCCGATTTGTACAGAAGCCCTGAGGGAGAAAACAGGTGAAAAAAAGGTTTTAGCAAGTCATGTTTTTTTAGTTGGATTTCATTGTTTGTCAGGTGTTTTTTGTTGTAAGGCTCATTTTGGCCACAAGAGGCAGATATGCATCATTACCACATGTTCTAAATAGGACGAATAATGACACACTAGTGGTGATTTAGATACATTTCTAGCCAAAAGAAAGACATGACAGCAATGTTACATTGAACAATTTCACCCGCCAAAACATTTTCACCTGTTTTCACAGTTTTTTCTCACCGGTTCTTAAGGGTTGGTAATCTTATTCTGCCTGTGCCCATCGTTTATGTTCATGATGGTAATTTGGGGGCAGTGGCTTCAGAGGGAGGCCTAAAGGGATTATTTTTTATTTTTTATTTATTTTTTGTCATTTACCTCTCGGGGCTTCCGTACTTTTGGCATGTGGGTAACTGATCTGTAGTACGAAACCTTACATAATATCAAAAAACAGGTTATATGCTTCTAACTTTCCTGCCACGCGTACACAGCAGAACAGTCCAACCCTTTGACCAGATGTTGTAATCCTGTGGATACTCCACAGAACAAGGGACAGTTAAAAGCTTGAGTAGGATGTCAAATTTGGCCACCATTCAGTTCATGTAACTTTGCACCATCTGTTACAGTGGCACATTCTCTTCCCACTTCAACAAAACCCTACGGTATGAACCAGTAGCATTGGACTTGATAGCAGTGTAAGTAACAGAGTTGATGGATACAGTTGTTAGGGTTACAGTAAGAAGAGGAGTCCATGCAGACAGTCCATGCAGTTCCACATAACTGGCGACCACTGGGGGGGGGAGAGGAAAAGAGGGCACAGACGATGTGAACGTTTAGCCCGCAACAGCTGACAAAAAGACACACTCATATGGCTTCACTTTCTAGTGTTCTGTGCAAGTTGCACACACACACACACACACACCTACACACAGAGACACAAGTCTTACCATCACTTTTACCGGGAGTGCCATCTTTTGGGCATTTAAGAAAGGCAGTGCAGCAGTGAGTGGAGGAAGAGGGATAGAGGAAGACATTAGTAGCAATTGAAGCAGGAACAGGAGTGAGTGGGTGAACAAGGGGCCTCATCATCATCATCATCATCATCATCATCAGTAATCGCCATTATCGGGCTATGGGGACTCATTGAAGAAGAACAAGAGAGGGAGGAAAATATGGCCAGAAGGATTACAGTACATTTCATATGTACTGGTGGGGAATGGGGCTAAAACATTTCCCATCAGCTTAAAATGTTGGCAAAACTTCCTTGATTACCTAATGAGGCGTAGGACCCTGGGGGGAGGGCGGCCGCAGAGCCGAACGGCGAGGAGGCAGGAACGGTGGACAGACGGGACTTGGAGCTGGAGGCGGCGTTTACATCGATGTCACTGCGGGAACGCTGGAGAGAACCCGATGTGGTCGACACCCTGGCGCTCACCAGCTTACCTGCGACAGCACAGAAGTGAGAAGTATACAGTCACTCCTGCATCACAGACATCTACTTCCTAACGTGTCACCTCCAACCAAAGAGCAGGACAGAGTGCAAACTGTGCAAACTGTGACAACATTAAAGCTGTGAAGCCTGAAGACCAGACGCATCACTTCTGCACATGTACATTTGCATGGCTACGTACAAATGCACGTATACAGTACATACATGTATATATTGTCTAAATATTAGAACCTGTATTGCATGTACTGTATATCTTATGAATGCAATTTACTTAAAATACATTTTTATTCTATGAATAATCTGTTTGCCCCAGCCCTTTAGACCGTTTCTTTTATTGCTGTGACATGTGAATTTCCCAGCAAACTCTTCTCTTATGTCCTCTTAACCACTGAGCTATAGATTAGTGCTGTAGGGGACAGTGTGCACACAAGGCCATGATGCACGGAGCTTTACTCTGCTTTCTCCATACTAACAACACTATTGCTTCACTTTATACAGTATACATGTCACTCCTGAGGAAGACCCCACACCAAGGGATGGATAGTTATTAATAATAATAATAATAATACTTACTCCTTGTTATGCTCCCTCCTATGACACTCTTCACAGACAACGGACGGCTGAAAAACAGAATTACATCACATTCCAACACAATGAGCATCGGTCAACACAAAACAGTTATGGTGCCTAAGAATAGGAACAATTAATATAACATTTTCCTCGCCCTCACCTGTAGGTGCTATTGGGGTTTATGTGAAATGTATTGGAAACCGTGGCTTCCTTTGATACAGAAGAAAATAGCTTACTCCCTCAAACACACACACACACACAAATGACGTTGACTTACATTCATTTGCTGGAGACTTAATATAACCATAACTGCTACCCTTAACCCTTACCCTAACCTTAAACTAAGGGTAAGTTAAGTCTTCACCCTAGAGACTTTTTCCCTAAAAAAGGCGAGTCCCCATAATGTAATCACATATATGTCCCCACAAGATAGGAAAAACACGCCCGCCCACACACACACTCTGCTGGATTGAGTATGAGGTCATTAGTCAACACGCTCCATTGGGAATCTATACACTGGCTAAACAATG